TCTCTCTCTCTCTCTCTCTCTCTCTCTCTCTCTCTCTCTCTCTCTCTCTCTCTCTCTCTCTCTCTCTCTCTCTCTGTGTGTCTCTCTGTGTGTGTCTCTCTCTCTCTTCCCCCACCCACTGAGAGCAGTCCTCTTCATCCATTTATTCAACATGACCGTCTTATTTACCACCTCCCCATACATACCAAGCCTGCACAAAATGTGCCATCGTCATTTACGTCTGAGACTTTTGTTTCAATGGTGTCACCTGTTTCCTTGATGGATGGAAGTTCTTCAAAGGTACGAGAGGGGCTAAGTGCACGGCTCACCAGACATGCAAAAGACAAACTATAGTGGATGTAGCTTTAAGCGTGCCCACAAGCTGTACATTATGATTCACAACATTTGGTGAGTAGTGCGGCGAGGCCCACAAGCTGAACATACACTATGATTCACAACGTTTGGTGAGCAGTGCGGCGAGGCCACAAGCAGGAGAACCCTGCACCATCCATTCAAATTGTGTATTCCGTCGAAACCGGCTCAACTGCCGAAAAAAGGTACTTGCAAAATGCACACGTCAGTGGTTTAAGTGAGAGCTAAACAAGGGTAGCAACCACAAAAGGAAAATAAAATTCTCCACAGGGGTCCCAGGCGTTGAAGGGATAAGGCACAGTTCAGAGAGGGGGGGGGGGGGGGGGGTTCCCCTTTTCAAAAGCAAGGTTACGATCCTTGCACCTGTCCAGTTCATTCACTCTGGGGACAGAAATGCACATGGTGATGCAGGGGACAGGAAGAAAAAAAATTATTTGCAAAGGGGAACACAGCGGAGAGTAAACGGACAAGACAAACAAGGAAAGAGGAATAACTGGGGTAGTTTCCGCGGGATGCCGTCTCACCCTTGAAGTACCATTTTCCGTCTTGTAGGTCACGCCGTCCTTGTTCTCCCCATACCAATAGAATGTTTTCGAATCTGGAACAAAGAGGATACCCCCACCGTGTGCCTGGATTGGACGTCCATCTGTATCGAGCCAAACATGACCAGGGAAAATCCAATGTTGAAGCTGAGGATCACCATTGGTCGGATCGATGGGGGGATTGCCATCGTCTTCCTCGACCTCATCAGTTCCCGTCATGGGTTCGGTACGGCCGTCCAGGTGGGACAGAAGTATACCACTGCGCTTCCACTTCTCCTCTTCGTCGTAGATGCCAGAAGAACGACTTCCGTACTTAGCATGATTTCGCTTCATGAAGACATTCCATAGGTGCCATGGCATTACAAACAGCAGGAGAATGAGTGTGCAGATGAGTATCGTAGGAGGAGGACATTGTGATCGCTCACTCCTATTCGGCCGTCTCCTCACCATCAACAGCTTGCCGTCTGTAAATGTACTTCTTCTGCTTCTTCCCCCTCTTCTTCTTCCTTACCTCCGCTGCTTCTGCTGCTGACTCTGCAGGAAATGCACAGACATTGTTACTTGTGACTTTGCCACTTTATTCCTCAGCGGTAGCAGCAGAAGAACCGCCTCCTCACAATCAACAGCTTGCCGTCTGCAAATGCACCCCTCCTGCTTCTTCCCTCTATTCTTCTTCCTTACTTTCGCTGCTGCTGCTGCTGACGCCGCTGGCAATGCACAGACATTGCACTTGTGAGTCTGTCATTTTAATCCTCAGCAGTAGCAGAAGAAGGTAAGAACAAGCTGCTGCTGCTGCTGCTGCTGCTGCCACCGGAAAACAAGATGGATGGAAAGCTCTGCTGCTGCTCTCCTCACTTCCCCTTCGGAACAGACAGAAGCTAAATTCTGCAATTTGATAGGTATCTCAGCCACATTCTGAGTACGCGTTTTCTGTAAGAAGCGCCCAACAATCCCTTCTTGCGGATTAACCACAAAAAGCTGTGAATCCCGCAAACAAACGACATTCCAGAGTGATGAAGAATACGCACTACACTTGAAGGAGAGGCACCCCACCTCAGCCGCTTTTCCCCTTCCCTTTCCTCTCCTGTTTATCTGAAATGTATCCCTCAGGGTCCTCTCAGCTCTGCCCGGGATCTTTCTGTAACAAGGAAACGGCAGAGAGTAATATTCACATCAGTTCCTTGTTAGTGACCATGAAATGAAACTCCTCTCTCTCTCTCTCTCTCTCTCTCTCTCTCTCTCTCTCTCTCTCTCTCTCTCTCTCTCTCTCTCTCAACACACACACACACACTTTTCAACCTCGTGATGAGTTGGTGAAAGTCCGATGAAACAGTCGGGCACAGTCATGCACTTTTTGTGGAGTTAGTGTATAGCGAACACGGCAACACGCAAACACAGAGCACAAAGGACAGGACGTGGACGTGGGCGACGACCACAACCACAACAACAACAACAACAACGACAACGACGACGACAACAACAACAACAACGGCGACAACGACAACGAGAACAACAACGACAACAACAACAACAACAACAACAACAACAACAACAACAACAACAACAACAACAACAACGATGATAGAGACGGACTCACTGCATGTCGAGCATCGCCAGAACTGCAGCCGCCCCCACAAATAACCAGCAAAATGCCAGTCAGGGAGGCGATACATCGACCTTCATTAGGATTCCTTCTCCTGATCCAAATTCAAACGAAGATGAAGACGCACATTGCATCAAAAAATCATTTGCAAATCGCTGCACTGGACACATTCGTGTACATTCTGGATTAGGAACATCACTTAGGAAAAGAATTAAATTCACGGTGAGTGTTCAGCAACCAAGCCTGGTCATTCCAATTGATGGATACCTCTGTGCTCCCCATTCCTCTGTCATTTCGTTGAGGATCTCCCTACCCTCTCTGTTCTCCTCCTCGTACAAATAAATAACCTGACTGTACGGCAATGAGGGATGCCTATCAGATCCCCTTTCCTCGGGATGTCTATCAGATCCCAATTCCTCTGATATCGTTGACGATATCCCTCCTCTCTCTGGTGTCCCTCCTCTTACAAATAAATGCTTGTCTGCCTGTCTGCTTGTGTGCCTGCCTACCCAGTGCTCACGACAATGACGGTACCTACGTGATCACTCTGATTTTGTGGAAAATCTCGCTCGCTGATATCTGTGGCCCGGCTGCTGCAAATATATGCCTTCCTGTGTGCCTACCGACAGCTGATGACAGAAGTCCGCAGGCACGCCTAGATACCCTCACGCCTGCCTGCCTGCCCGCCGACAGCTCATGCCTGAAAAAGTGTGTGCAAGATCTCAAAGCGTTCAGAGGGTGTCTAAGTGATGCCCCGGGTCTCTTTGAGATCTTGCAAATACTCTTCAGCGAACCACACGCCGTGACCCGTTTCCCGTCCTGCAGCTCGCCCCTCAAAACCTTAGCCTTGTTTGTGGGCTCGGCAAGGGAAGCCGTTTGTCAGCTTAGCTTAGCTTCGCTTGGCTTCGCACCTACGGACTCTTATTTGTCCAGAATCAATCTCACCCACGTGTAGCTAGAGGGTATTGATTTCCCGACCTTGCACTGTGCTCAGCAGATGCTTCGCATCTGATCTGGTGCCAGATAAGTTAATCGCATATACGCCCATCTTCCAGGCCGAGTGGTGGAAAGGCAGTAACCAACTACATCAGGGAACGAGGCTGCGTTCCACTAGTTCCAACGAGGGAACGTACCACCAACTCAACCCCCTAACATCCTCTGAGCCGGGTGAGTGCTTCGATCCTCTGTCTCACATCTCTCCCTGACATCTATGCCTGACATCTGCCTGACATCTGTGTCTGACATCTTTGCCTGCATCCTACAGGGGGCCTGGGCACTCACTACATGGGCGGGCATCATACATGCCTGGGACCTCTGGGAACTTTGGGACAATGATGACCTCTCGGAACTTCGGGACAATGACATCATGGTTCATGACATGATTCCGGAGTCCACAATTCCCTTCGCAAGTTCGCAGTGGTGGCGAAGTTTTCTACCCTCGGCAAACCGTCAACATGATCTTCCACATGCTCAACGTGAAAGAGCACCCCTGTACCAGAAGGGGCAATTAGTCAACACCCCTGTGCCAGAAGGGGCAATTAGTCAACACTGTGTAACCTCAGCGGCCTTTTGCTCTGCATGGCTACAGATACTGTTACACTCGGCTGCAGGCAGCGGCTGCCAAGCGAATCTGCCCATCTAGCTCCCCCACAGCTGAGGTTACAGGATGGCGCTACCCATCCCAGCATGAGCCCGACGTCGTCCACCGTGCAAGCACGGATTCGAACCGGCGACCTCGACACAGGCTCTGCCAGAATCACTGCTACAATGCCATGGTTTCAGCAGCCACATGTGCAACGAGCTGCACCTCCCCTTTCCTGGCTGTGTGCACCCTACGCACCCAGATATCACCTCCCTATCTCGCAGGTGCAGGTGCAGGTACCGTCCGCAGGTGCAGGAGCAGTCCGCAGGTGCAGGGGCAGCTCGCAGGTGCAGATGCCGGCCATTTTGCAGGTGCGGCAGCGGACCATTTTGCAAGCGCAGGTGCAAGTGCGGACCATTTTGCAGGTGCAGGTGCAGGTCCAGGTGCACACCTTGCACCTGCACATCGCCAGCGATACTATAGTGAATGCATGTTCTCCTGTGATGCCCGTTGTTCGTTCGTCCTGACCTGCAACCCGCATGCCATTTGCGAGAGTGCTTTCTTCGGATGACTAATTCCAGCAGTTGTGGCAGTGGTTGCAACTGAGAGTTATTGCCTTGTCCTTCCATGTCATCCCTACCACCCTCTTCCCCCTGCTGCGTTGGCGTTCCACGCCATCACCGACTTGGTCCCAACTCCTCCTTTCTCTCTCCTTGCTTTGTCACCTCTGTTCCACACTCCTGAATCTTCCTAGCACTCTCCTTGCTCCCTCCCCCCCGCCCCCTTCTCTCTCTCTCTCTCTCTCTCGCGCGCGCGCGCCCAATTTTCAAACCCCTTACTGTGACATGCCTATCACGTCGTGCAGGCGGACGTTAGTGAAGTGTGTTGCTTTGGCAGACTCGGGTGTGGGCACTTGTCACATGCTCAGCCACACAAACGCGGCAAACCCTTGCACCTCAAGGGCACCGCAAAAGGGAAAGCTACACCTGGGCCGTGTGGCTGAATGGTACACACATATAACTATTAGTAGAGAGATCGTGAGTTCGAACCCTGTCTGGACTCAGAGGAATACAGTAAAGTTAGGGGCTACCTCCTTCAAAAAGAAGAAAAGGAAAACAAAGTAGAAAGAAGAAAGAAAAGAGAAACTGTGAAAGAGAAGAAGCCAAACCGACGGAAGGAAAGGAGAGGGAAACAACTGCACATGAAAAGGGCAATAAGCATGGTTGTTCTCAGTGTGCCTCACGCTGTCCGTTCTTTTCTCCACTTGTCCTGCAAATTGCGTTTTGCTACGGTAGTTTTTTCCCTAGAGATGTGACAATATGATAAAACAATAACATACATATATAACATGCAATCTATGTATGTATGTATGTATGTATGTTTTTGTTTGGTCACCTTTTTGCACAAGAGAAGGGTTAACCTGTTGACGCCTCCCAGTCGGTGGTGGCTTAACAACCACGTATCAACGGCCAGCAACAGCGAATCCTGGTAAGTGGGACCTTGCCCCGGGTAGTTTTCTGGAAAAAGGGAAAGGGAGGGAAAGGGGAGGAGGAGGGGGGGGGAGGGGA